TTTTTTTTTTTTTTTTTTTTTTTCTTTTTTTTTTTTTTAAATATTCATCGTATTTATATCTTAATATTAAAATATAATACCTGAAATTCTATTTTTTTTAATAAAAATATTAAAAAGAGTATAAAATTTAAATAAAAATATCTTATATATAGTCTTATATTGTATACATAACTATTTATATTTACAAAAGTTATAATAAAAGAAAAAATCATTTTACATCCAATGTTAAAATAATTATCCTACTTATAATAAAAATTAAATAAAACTTAAAAAAAAAAAAATCATCATAAGTTTTTTCTTTTTTTTTTTTTTTTTCTTTTCTTTTTATATATAATATAATATATATATATTATGCTTGAAATATATAATATAGAAAAAAAAAAAATGTTTTATTTTTGATTTTACAATTCTTAGGAAAAAAATTATAATTACACTGTTATTAATTCATTATATATTTTTCTTATTTAAATTAAAATAAAATGATAATATAAAGCATTGAAAACATTAGGATTATCTTTTTTAAAAAAAGGGAAATAAAAGATTATAGTATTTTTAAATTATAATGTTCACAAAATGTGAGTTGTTTTTTAGAAACTATTAAAATATATTAGTATTTATTTTATTTTATTATCTGAAATAATAATAAAATAAAAAAAAAAAAAAAAAAAAGTAAAAATAAAATAAAAAACAAAATAAAATAAAAAAAGTAAATAAAAATAAAAAAAAAATAAAAGATAAAAACAAATAATGGGGTATAGTACTGCATTAATAAATACAGTAACTCACATAAAGAAATCAAAAATTATTCTTTTCGGATTTAGGATATTATGGATAACTTCTATAATTGCATATATGATAATTTTGAAAGTAACATCAGATCATCATTTATTAGTAGGCCAAGTAGAAGAAGAATTATACAAAATAAGTAATAAACAACTCTTAAAAGATGATAAGATATTTCATAATTACAACAAATCATTTAATATAATAAATTTTATATGTGGATCTTTTCTTATTTTTTCGTGCTTAGTTAATATTTTATTTAGCATCAATATAAGAATAAAAAATATAAAATTAAGTAATTATAAAAAAATTGTAAGAATAATAAATTTAAATTTACAAGTATTAATTATTTCTTTAATATTTATGGAAAATTTTGATAATCAAGTATTCTTTTGTAATTTAAAAGAATATTTATATTGGTTCCAAAATTATAATAATAAAATTAATTTATTTGTAAATTCAGGAAATAATTTATGTATAATGCACAAATATGCTAATTTTTTTTCTTTAAGTTTTTTAATATTTTCATTAATTGAGTTTTTTACATTATATATTAACACAGAAAAACCTTTTCGAAAAAAATTTTTTATATTCTACATTAAAATATCAACAGCATTTATTTCTTTGGCCCTTTTTTATTTTTATTTAAAAAACAAGTATTTTTTTAATAATGTACTTTCAAAATATAATATTTTTAGCTTAGAAAATTTTAATGAAAGTATTAAAGTAATAATACTTTCTACTCAAAAACAAAAAACATATTATTTTCAACTACTTATTTTTAGTACATTTTTCTCTGGGATTTTTTTTTTGGCATCTGGGTTATATGATTTATGCTCCATATTAAAATCGTGTAAATTTTTCCTTTTAGTAAGTGTATTGATAAGCGTATGTGCCTTTATTATTATATTAAGTCAATTACTTTTTTCAACTTATATACTTGAAGAAAGTTTTTTTTTTTGTTCTTATAAAGAGTATGTAGAATCCAACAAAAACCTTGAAGAGAAATCTTTGAGTACATTGGGTGCAACTTCAGATATTACAGAAACTAATTGGTTTTGCAATTTGAAGAGTTTTCTATTTATATATTTTGTAAATATTATTACAGGTTTAATATTTTTTATTGTGGATTTTTTTGTTTCAGTTTATCTGGTATTTTCAAAGAAGTACACTGCAAAATATACATAAAAATATTTATTAATTTTTTTTTTCCTTTTTCATTTTTCTCCTTTTTTTTTGTATATTTTTTGATTTTTATGTTTTTATTTTTTATATAAAATTGTTAAAATCTTTATTTTGTATGTCTGTAATGTTTAAAATTGCAATAAATTTTTTTTAATGCTATATTTATGCTTATTTTTATTGTCATTATTTTATTACTTCATTTGTCTAATATGATTATATCTTGAAATTATTATAATATGAATCTGTATTAACTTTCACGATTTAATTTTTTTTTTTTGTTACATTTTTTTTTTTTTTTTTTTTTATTAAACTATATTTTAATAATAATTATAATGCATAAATATTTATTTCTGCAAAGTATTTTAGAATTAAAAAATTTTTAATTTTAATTAAAGGTATTATTTTTATTAATATTATATTTGTATAAATGCAACAAAAGTACAATATATTATAAACAAATTTATTTTTACATTTTTATTTAAAAGCCTGAGTTTATTATTGTTAAATTATTTAATAATTATTTAAAAAAATAAAAAAAAAAAAAAAAATATTGGAAAATTGTATAATTAATATTAGGAAGGTTACTAATAAAAATGTACAATAATACAAATCGATTTTAATATTAAAATATGAGCAAAAAAAGAGCACAAACATTTTTTTTTTTTTTTATAATCGCGTGTTTGAAGAGAACAAAAATAAAAAATAAAAAAATACTTTTATATGCAACGATTGTAGATTTATTAAATTAAAAAGAAAAAAAAAAAAAATTATCATAAATATCTGATAATAATACTTTGAACTATTAATTAGATAAGGTATAAAATAAATACATGGACAAAAAAAAGAAAATAAAAATTACCTGACTATTCATATATTTTTTTAAACGTTACACACATATTTTCTATATAGAATGGGGCAGGGAAATGGAAAAAATAAGCTTATTATTCAAGGTACCAATGTATGGTATTAAAAAATAAAAAAATTTTAAATAGATAATTAAAAATAATATTCACTGAATAAACAATTACATTCCTTTATAATATGTAACTAAAAGTTTACTTTTAAAACTTATTTGTTCAAGATAAATTTATTGAAAATTTAAAATAATTTTTACACTATAAAATGTATGCAACATTAATAAACTTTATTAAATTCATTTAGGATATATATATGCATTTATAAAAATATACATATTTAAATTTTAACTAACAAATTTTTGTTACAAAAGTATTGTAAATTATATAAAACAATTTAATATGCAAAATAAGAAATACATGAAATTTGAATATATATTTTGTATATATTTTTATAGGAATTTTTAATAGATAAAAAAAAAAAATTTTGTTCATTAAATATTAGGAGTTCTGTAAATATAAAGAATATATATAATGGTCCTAATAACATAATAATTATCTATGAAAATGATGATTTTGAGATAGTTGGATTAAATAATTATGGACAATTAGGCTTAGGAGATAAAATAAATAGAAATAAATTAACAATTAATTCTATTTTATCAAAACAAAAAATTAGAAAAATATCATGTGGATATGAGCATATAATTGCTTTGATGTGTAATCACAACATTTTTGTTTGGGGAAATAATCATTATGGTCAATTGGGTATAGGAGAAAATACTGTAGAAATTTATACTCCTTTGTTAATATATTTTAATGAAAAAGTTATTGATATTGCTTGTGGAAAAAATCATTCTCTTTTTTTAACTGAATCAGAATGTGAAAGTTGTAATTATAGCAATATTTCTGAAGTAAAAAAAGCTGATATCCCATATAATTTTATTAAAAAAAAAAAAAATGATAGACAAAATTGCTTAAGTAAATCAGAAATAAATATTAATGATGAAGTTAATAGCAAATTAAATGATGAATTCATTGAAAATTATAGTAGTGAATCTGAAGAAATACAAAATATCAAGAAGGAAAACAAAGAAGAAGAAGAGGAAGAAGAGGAAGAAGAAGAGGAAGAAGAGGAAGAAGAAGAGGAAGAAGAGGAAGAAGAAGAGGAAGAAGAAGAAGAAGAAGAAGAGGAAGAAGAAGAAGAAGAAAAAGAAAAAGAAAAAGAAAAAGAAGAGGATGAAGATGAGAATAAGACTGATGAAGAGAACAATAAGGAAGAAGAGTATGATAATAATATCTATGTTGAAAAAGAAGAAAAAGAAAAAAAGAAATATAAACATGGAAACAATGATGAAATAAATAATAAAAAATACTGCAAAACAGATAATTTAAATGATACAATTAAAATATTAAAAGAAAATGAAAAAAAAAATAGGAACGGGAAAATATTAAATTTTAATATTTATTCTTGCGGTTCAGGTATAAATGGAAAATTAGGTTTTAAAAGTGAAGAAAATATATATTTTCCCAAAAAAATAATAATGAAAAAAAAATTAAAAATAAGTAGCATATATTCAAGTTACGATCATAATGCCTTATTAACAAAAACAGGAAAATTATATACATGGGGATATAACAAAAATGGAGAATTAGGTATAAATAATAACAAATCTAGTCATAAATTAAAAAAAATAAATTTAAAAAATGATATAATTGTAAAGGTATGTCTAAGTAAATTATATTCTGCATGTTTAACAAAGAATAATAATTTTTACATATGGGGAAATAACATTCTCAAAATGAAAAAAATAAACTTTTTGAATTTTCAGATTAGTGACTTCTGTTGTAATGAAGATAATATTATAATTTTAACAAAAGACCAGAAATTATTTTTATTAGATTCCTTTAAAAAAATACAAAACTTGAATAAATTAATACAAACAAAATTGTTAAACGATGCAAAGAATGCTAATAACATTCAATATAATTTTATAGGAAATGGATATAATTACTTATATGCTCACATTAGTATAAATAAAGATATTAATAATAAGAATATTTTAGAAAAAAAATATTATGAAAACTCTACTCTTTGTGAAACAAAAACAAATATTAAAATAGAAAAAGAAAATATATCTCTGCTAGATAACAGTGAATTAGAAAGTTATAACATGAATAAAAAAAAAAAAAATATAGAGATTGATGAATTTTCAGTAATACCCAATAATAAAGATATTTTAAATGAGATAAAAAAAAATGTAAACATTAATAATGTTAATAAAGAGAAAAAAGAAAATATCAAAGATGGAGTTTATAAGAAAATGGAAATAAAAGAAATGGATAGAAATTTATGGAAAATTATGAATAAATGTGAAGAAAAAAAGCAAACGAATTCAATAAAGGAAAATAAGGAGCAAGAAGAAGAAAGAAAAGAAAAAGAAATAACAAAGGAAGAAAGAATAACAGAAGAAATAGAAGAAGAAGGAAATACTAATTTATGTATGCCTAAAGTGAATTCTAACAATGACAAAAATTATATAAATACAATTGATAATTTTAAAAAGGACAAAAATAAATTAAAAACAGAATGTGCAAATTTTAGTGATTTAAGTGAAAATATAAAATTTCATTCTTTTTCTAATGATATATTACATATAGAAAAAAGGGAAGAAAAAGAAAAAAATAATAAAAATATTAAATCCTTTAACGAAAAACAAATAGAAAATGTTGCCATACAAAATGATGTTGAGAAAAAAATGAAAAATAAAATAGATATAGAATATCTTATTAATAATATAGATAATATCAATTTGGATATTATAAACATAGAAGATGTTTACATAGATAATAATTTCTTACTAAACAGAACATCTGACATTATTAAAAGAAATGTAAATCATATAGACTACCTATCAACAAATAATGAAAAAATAGAAAAATGCAATAATTTAACTAAGAAGGAAAACTCATTTTGTTTTAATTTAGAAGATAAATATGTTAATTTAAATATTATTTTATTAAAAGAATTAAAAAAGCAAAAAAAAATTAATGTTTTTTATAATCACTTACTAAATAAACTTTTAAATGAATCAATTTACTTAAAAGAAGAAAAAAAAAATTTAAAAAAAAAAATTTCCCTTTTATTAAAAATTAAAAATTCAAAACAAAATACAGACTTAAATGAAAAAAAAAAAAAAAAAAATGTCAATTCTTGTTTAAAAAAAAAACACACATTTCCTTTATCCTTGATTCCCAATGATTATCAAAGTAAAGAAAAAAGTGATAAACATATAAGTAGTTCTAGTAATATTAGTACATTTTCATTAAATAAAAATAATAAATTAATAAATAGAAAAAAGAAAAATATTTATAATCAATCAAATGATTTGCTGGTTTTAGACGATTTAACATCTGACTTATTCAATAAAAAAAACGAAGAACAAAATAAAATAAATAACATACCAATTTTTTTTTTAAATAATTAAAATGAAATATACTGGTAATTATTTTTGTGTTTTTATATTCATATTCAATAAAATTATGTATTAAAAAGATACAATTATACAAATGTTTATATAAAATTAGTTTTTAATATAATTTACCGTATAAATTTTTAGATAAAAAATCATTTTTATTCTTTTCTTTTTTTAAATTATATATTATTAGTTTATGTCATTAACTTTAATTTCTTTACTATATTATACACCCTGCTAATTTTTTTTTTTTTTTTTTTTTTTTTTTTTTAATTTTTTTTTTTTTTTTTTTTTTTTTTTTTTTGTTTATTACAATGATTAAAAACATTTTCTCTTTATTTATTACTCTTCATTATTTTTTTTTCTCCCTTTTTCTTTTTATATTTCATTGAAAGAGTTGTGTAAAAGATAAAAACTTTTAACTTTTGTTGATTACATATTTTCCCTTTCATGTGTATGTATTTAAAAAAAATAATAAAATTTATAATATTTATTTTCTTAAATTATTTTTTCTTTCAGAAAGTTTTATAAACTATATATTAATTATTATTCAAATATTTACTATTTTTCTTTATTCATCTTGTGAGTTTTAATAAAAAGATAAAAAATAATGTGTTACACAAATTTATTCTCTAAATTACTCTAATTCAATTATATTTGCAATATATTTTAAAATGCTTTCTTTAAAAATAATAGTAGTTTCGTGAAAAAATGATTTTGTCAAAAAAAAATTTTCATAAATTTTTTTGTACTCATAAGTTAATAAAACATCTATAAATATAAGGATAATTTTAAAAATAGCATTTTAACATTTTTTTTTTTTTTTTTTTTTTTTTTTCGACGACATAATTCTGTGTTAAAATTTCAAACGAATTATATATTTATCAGCATAGTTTACTTTTTTTTTTTTTTTTTTTTTTTTTTTTTTTTTTTTTTTTTTTTTTTTTTTTTTTTTTTTTTTTTGTTTGAAAACAATATAGAGTTAAAATGTACTTCAAGAATTATTTTACACTGTCGAGTTTATTAAACAAATGTTATATTCTTAGGCAAAAAAGAAATTTGTTTTTTTGTTTTCAAAAACATAATCAAAATATAGAGGAGAAAAAGATATATACTTTAACATTAGATGGGAAAGAAAAAATGAAAACAAAATTTTTAAATAATATTTCACTTAAATTGGAAAAGGAATTGAGGAGAAGAAAATTTCCTCTAATTTTAATTTTTTCTATATTAGCAATTTCAATAGATATTAAATATGCAACATGTGATGAATCAGTTTTTACAAAAAAAAACTTAAATAATAATTCTATTAGTAACAGTAATTTTGATATAAGTAATATCGAATTGAATTTTGAAGAACTTGATGAAATGGATTCTTTTTATTTTTTAAAACATAAAAATAAAATGCATATGATTCAATATTCAGCTAATACTCCAATAGAAGATAGATGTTTTTTATATAATATTAATATTAATTCAAAGGATTTAGATAAAAAAAAATTTGCTCCTAAGGGAAATGAAAGTGAAAAAGAATTTGTTAACTCATTTGAGAGTACTTTAACATATGATGAAGGTGAAAGAAGTCCTGAACAAAAAACGGAAATTTGTGAAGATAGTGTTATGAGCAAAAGTTTCGGATCCGAAAGGACATATAATGCAGAAGAAGGATCACATAAAATTGAAAATGAAGACAGTTTAATGAATGATATATCTGATAAAGATCCCAAATCTCTTAATGTTAGCGATAATTTAAATAATGATTTTATATTTGCCGGTGTTATAGATGGTCATGGAGGAGCTGCAATTGCAGAAATAACAAGGAGATCATTAGGACATTATGTAAAAAAGCAATTAATAGAAAAAATAAAAAGAAGGAAGAAAGAAAATATAGATGAAAATGATATTATATTAAGCTTAGAAGAAGCATATTTAAATTTGGACCGTGATATTTTGAAAATTGTAAGAGAATATTTTTATAAAGGTTATACAAAATTTTCAAGAATAGGGGCATGTTGTTTAAGTTTACTAATAGATAAGGACAATTATTACATAAGTAATGCAGGTGATTCTAGAGGGTTATTAATTAGAAAAAATGGATATGTTATTTTAAATAATATCCATAACGCTAATCAAGTAAGCGAAAGAAAAAAGTTATTAGAAAATCATCCAAATGAAAAAGATGTAGTATTATGTAGAAAAATAAAGAAAAAGAAAAGAAGATTTCATTTATTTAATTTAACAGATAAAATCAATAAACTTTTGTTAGATGATTATGATAACTGTTATGTTAAAGGAAGATTACAGCCAACCAGAAATTTAGGTGATTTCCATTTAAAACTCAAAGAATTTTCTTATGATCATGTTGATGGAAAATGTATTATTAGTAAGCCACATTCATTTCCTTATATTACTGCATTACCGGAAGTACAAAAAATAAAGAAAAGTGAAACTGATGAATTTATTATTCTGATGACTGATGGGGTTACAGATTTTTTAAGTGATATGGAAATAGTTAGAATAGTTAAAGAAAATAATACTTCTGTTGAAAAAGCTTCAAAAGAAATTGTTAAAAGTGTTTTAATAAAAGCAGCTAATTATGATAATTTATCAATGGAAGAATTTTTAAAAATTTTGCCGGAACGTAAAAGAAAACATTATGATGATATGTCTTTGGTTATTATTAAATTAAATGAAGATTAAAAGAAAAAAAAATGAAATTTCATAATCATGAATTATAAAAATAAACATTTTCCAACATTCTCATTAGATTAAGACTAAAAAAAAAAAAAATTAGGATTTCAAAGAATAACATAGTATTCATAAACATTGGTCTTAAAAAAAAAAAACCAAAAAATATTGATATAAAATAAAATTAAAAATAAATAAAAATTATGAAAAATGAATCATATTAATGAAAAATTACAAAAAAAAAAAAAAAAAAAATATATGTAAATATTTGCATTTTTGATATATAATATAAATTAATACATGCTTTTTATAATTTTTTTGTGTAATACATTCAGATTTTAATATTATTAAATATTCCATTAAATACAATACGTTTTTACACTCTTTTTTAGCTTTTTTGTATTTTTTTTTTTTTTTTTTGAATTTTATCATTATAAATTTTTTTAAACTTTAAAAAAATGAAAATCATAAGAAAGTATATAACAAAAATTATTTTTAATTTTCCTGTTTTCTTCGTAATAATAAGAAAATATTACTTCAAAAGCAGAGTTTGTTGTAATAATAGCTTGTTTTAAAAAAATTTATATATTTTATATAATTAATTTGATATTCACAAATACATTAAATCTGTATGATTTTTTTTTTAAGAAAATTTAACATACATCTACAATTTATATAATATTTAAAAAAAAAAAAATAAAATAAATACATAATTTTAGTCTATTTACATAATCGTAGTTACTTTTATTTTTTACTGTAAAAATTAATAGAGATTATTTTTTTCTAGTATCTTCTTTATTTAAAATAAAAAATGCACACCTAGATATATTGAACCCCTTATTTTATTTTATTTTTTTTTTTTTTTTATTTGTTCTGAAACATTAAAAAAAAAAAAAAATAAAAATAAAAAAAAACGTGAGTAAAAAATAAAAATAAAAGAAGACCCATTCTGTTTCATTAATTTGATTTATTCAGTAAATTTTAAAGTTTTAAAAACAAACTTTAACTTTTATATATTGTTTTTTTACTTATTTTTTTTTTTTAATATTTTTTTTGAAGATTTAATTTAAAGAATTAAAATTTTTTAAATAAATTTATATTAAATATTTAAATATGAACAAATTTCATCATCAGATAAAATTTAAAAATTATCTCTTTTTTAAAAAAGCATTTGTAACAAAAATTTTTTTTATAGGATTATTATATAAATATTTTTTTTTTCTTTACAAAATAGTTTTATTAAAAATAATTTTTTGTTTTTAAAATTATTTTTTATGCAAATTTTTTACTTACAACTTTTATTTAGTAATTTTTATAATTTATAAAAAAAAAATTTTATAATTTGAATATTCTATAATTTTTTTAAACTATAAAAATAAATTGTAGAAAGCAAGTCTTTAAGATTTCCTTTTAGTTGTCTACTACTTTTTATCATTGTTTTTTCTAATATTATGATTTGTTATAATTTCTGATTCATTAAATAAAATTTCATCATTTTCCTTTTCTTTTTATTATATATATATATATATATATATATAGTTTATAATTAATATTATAATTCTCACATATACATTATTATACTAATTTGAATATAAATTCATATTTTTTTTCATTTTATATTTTCTATATTTTGCTGTAATTTATTGTTATTTTATTTTTATTTTTTTTTTTTTTTTTGTTATTTTTCATTTTTAATTTAACTACTTTTCCTTAATTTCTTTGTAAGTTTTTTTTTTTTTTCAAAGTTTGTAGAGCTTTTTATTAATTTAATATTTTATTTTTGAAATTAAAATATATACTAATAATTTTTTTTTATTCATGAAACTATGAACAATAATTTAAAAAAAAAATTGAAGATAAATAGAGTTAATGCTTATTCAAGTTTAATAAAAGATGATGAAGACAATTTTATAAGTAGAGAAGAATATTATAGTAGTAGATCATTAAATGATTTCGATGTGCTCATAAATGAATATTCTGAAGAAATCAAAAACGATTTAAAAAATGAAAAAAGTAAAGAAACCTTTAAAAAAGATTACAAATATAAAGCAGATGAGAGTAATGAAAATATAAAAGAGCTTATTTTAAAATATAGCAAAAAGAAAAATAGTATAAAAAAAAAAAAATTTATTAATAAAATGAAGAATGATAAATATCATTTAAAATATAATGAATTCAATGAATCCAGTAGTATAGATGATAAATATGAAAATATTAAGAAAAAAAGAAAAAAAAGCTCAAAAGCATTCTCTAAATATGTAAAAAATTATATTGGTGTATCAAATATAAAAAACAATAAATACAATATAGAAAATGAAACAAATAAACATACAAAAATAAATAAAAAATCTAAATTCATTAATAATGAAAATACTAATATAGAAAAAGATAAAAACATATATCAAAAAGAAGATAAAAATATAGAACTCTCTATATTTAATATGAATGATAACAGTTATAGTGATAATACTGAATGTAATAATAATTATTATAAAAGTAATAATATTATTAATTGCAGTAATAATGATCATTATGATAATAAATGTAATAATAATAAAACAAAAATTAATAAAATTTTTCCAGCAAAAAATATGAATAGTTTTGATTACATAATGTATGAAGAAGATGTAGAGAATAATATTAATAACAAATTGAATAAAAAAAAAAATAGAAAAAATAATTTAAATTACATTAAAGATATGAATGAACAAAATAAAGATATTTATATATTAAACAATGTTAATATAAATGATTTAAATGATAATAATGTAAATAAGAGAATTGAAATTTCCGATGTAGATGTAAATAAATATAATGAAAAATCTAAAATAGATTTAATAAATAATTTTTTAAAAAAGAAAAAAAAAAAAAAAAAGCTTAAGAAAAAAAATAATAGTGGTGAACTTGTTGATATTAATTACGAAAAAAATTATAATTACATACCTTGTAATAATAAAAAAGAGAAAAGACATATGAATAAAAATAACGGAAGGAATATTTTTAATAGTAATTTAAAATATGAAGTAATAAGTGGTGAAGAAAAAATATTACATGAGAGTAGTAAAAGTAATGAAAAAAAAAAGGGTAAAAGAATGAAAAAATATATACCAATGAATATATTAGATAATTTAAATAATAATGAAGATTTATTTAAATGGAGAAAGAAATATCGTAATATGAAAAGATTAGCTTTAGATGAGACAAAGAATAAGAAAGTTCATGTTTTTGTTTTTATCATTTTTTTATTTTTAAATATTTTTATTAATTATGATAGTGGTATATTACCAATATCCTTAAATAAAATTACAGATGACTTTCACTTAAGTATAACTTTACAGGGTTTATTGGGTTCCATGCCATACATAGGATTAACCATAGCAAGTTTTTTTTTAGCAACTATACTACAAAAATATGAGCAAAAAAAAATTATTTTAAAATCCATGCTATTAAATACTATAAATATATTATTAAGTTTTTTTTGTACTAATAAGTTCTTTTTCATTTTTTTAAGATTTATATATGGAATTACACACTCTGTCTTGATAATTTATTTTCCTGTATGGGCACATGAATATGCTCCATCTTTTAATTTAACATTTTGGCTAGGTTTAATTCATATATCAACAATTATGGGAATAACAGTAGGATATTTATGTACTGGATTATTAATTTTTTTTAATTTTTCATGGATGTATTCACTTTTAATTCAAGCCTTTTTTTTAATTTTTTTTTCTATATTTTTATTTATTATACCTAAAAAATTTATTAATATATCTAATATTTCAAAAAATCCTAAATTAAATAATATTTCAAAATATAATATATTCACTAATAACGACAATGGTAATGATACTTCTACTACAACAGATTTAAATGATAATAATACCATAATTATTTATGTCTCAAAAGATAATAATGATTTTAATTGTTTGGCTAGCCAGAAAGCTATTAATTTTTCAGAAGATTTGGTTTATGAAAAAAACATAATAAATACTCAAAAATTAAATTACATAAAAAGAGTTTTTTATAAAATAAAAAAAACATACTTTTTTTCTTCTATTGTAGCAATATTAAGGTAAATCATATTTATATACTTACATATATTTTTAATAAATATGTATATTTTTATTTGTATTCATATTTACATACAACTTTTTTTTTTTTTTTTTTTTTTTTTTTAGATGCCCATTATATATGTGGCTAGTTTGCTCATTATGTAATCTTTTCTTTGTTGTTATCGGAATATTTTTTTGGTCAACTAAGTTTTTTATTAATTACTTAAATATTGGTTCATTGGAAGCTATGTTTTATTTTATTGGTACTTCTTTAACCGCTCCAGTTATAGGTATAGAAGAAAAAAAAAAAAGTGAAATAAAAATAATAAAAAGAAAATAAATTAATTTTACATAAATATATATATATATATATATATAAGAATATATATCATGTTATAATTTTCAAAAGAATATTATAATTGTTTTTTAAAATCGTTATTTTCTGCAATTTTTTTTTATGATTTACATTTTTAGGAATATTAATAGGAAGCAAAATTGTTGATAAGTTTATAGGTGGATATAAAGAATACAAAAATAGATTACGAACTTTATACTTTTGTATATTTAATTCTTTTTTAACATTCCTTTTAGGTATGTATATTATTTAAGATTTAAATTCAAAAATTAATAAGAAAAACAATATATATATATATATATATATATATATATATATATATATATGTTTTTTTTTTTTTTTTTTTTTTAATTCTTTTAGCTTTGATGATATGTATTTTTGACAATTATAAATTTACGTTAATTTTTACATGGATAATTTTATTATTTGGTGCAATGCTACTTCCACCTATAACAGGTAGTATATAAGATATATTGTTTTTTATATTTAAAAATGATATATTTTTTTATTTTTTTTTTTGACATATTTTATTGTATTTAATAATACTATTTCTGATTATGTAGGAATAATACTATCAACTGTTAAATCTGAGATTAGATCTTTTGCATCGGCATTTTCGATGTTTATGTATAATATTTTTGGTTATGCATTAGGTAAAATAAAATTGTATACTTTTAAAAATTCCAAAAGAATTTATCAACTTGTATAAATATAAATGCCTTGTATAAATAAATATATGTTTATGTTTTTATTAGGGACGTTCTTTCCAGGATTCATTGTTGATTTTTTCAGGGTTAGTGAAGTTGTTAGTATCAAGGTATAATAGAAAAAAAGAAAAAAGAAAAAAGAAAAAAGAAAAAAGAAAAAAGAACCTATATATATTAATAATTATGTTTGAATATAAATTAACAAAAATAATAAAAAGAAAAAATATATATATATATTTATAATGAAAATATTAAAATTTAATAAATAATAGTATATATTTTTAATTATATAATAAAAAAAATTAGTATTAATAAATTTGTAAAATAAAGAATATAAATAATCTTATTTTTTTCTTTTATAAGGTTGTTTATCTATGGTCATTTTTTGGTTTAATAAATTTGTGTATTGCCACTTTATTTGCAAAGAAAAAATAAATTTAATAATAATTATTTAAATTTATGGCTTTTAGTTGAAAAAAACACTAGTTATTCATGTATGCTTTTCTTTTTTAATTTGAGTTGAAATATTTTTTGTATTTTTCCAATAATATATAATCTAAAAAAAAAAAAAAAAAAAAAAAAAAAGGAAAATGAAAAAGAAAAAGAAAGTTTTTTTGATTTGTTTTTACATTTAATTCAATTATCTTACTTGATACAAAATAGTAAAATTTAAAGTAGAGATAAAAATACAGTGAATCTAAAAAATAAAATAGTTATAAGTTATTACAATTAAAAATAAAAAGAATTTTATTATTAATTTTTAATATTAAGAAATTTTTGTGATTTTTTTTTTTTTTTTTTTTTTTTATACCAAATAAATTTTGTTATTTGAACTAAAAAATATAGTAAATATTCTTCCTAAATTCCCTAGAAAAACAATAATATACGTAACAAGAGACAAATTTCCTGTATTTTTATTTTTATAATTTAAATAAATTTGTGGCGCCTTTGAAAAACAACCTAAAAATAAAATAAATATATATATAGATTAACTCTTTATAAAGAAATTATAAAATAAATATATTGAAATGCCACTTTTTTTAAAATTATTTTTATTATGTTAATAAATACATATATATATATATATATATATATTTTTTCATTTATTTAGTTAATAAGATACTTAAAGATACTATTTTATTTTTAAGGTATTACTTATTGGAGCTGATACAATACCTAAAAATGGCACAAACACATTGGGTAACCAATAAATCAAGTATATATTAAAAAATACATAGAAACTAATTTTAATGGCATTAATATATTTAGGATATTTATTACTATATCTCCACATTAATAAAACTATGAAGATATTTTGTGCATCTATAAAATTAAATGTGAAAAAAAAAAAAAAAAAAAAAAAAAGATAAATATCTACACATTTTTTACTATTCTATGATTTTTAGTTTTTATTATTTTATTAATTATATATATTTAACTTATTAAAATAACATCAAGAAACAATTTAATATTTATATTTTCCTTTATAGAAAATACTATTAATGAACTTGCTACTAATATCTATAAAAATGTGGTAATGTAAAAATTGCATTTCAATAACAGCAATTATTATTGTGTTAACTAATTTGTAGAAAGCTTTTTAATATATATTTTCATATAATTATTATAATAATTATATATATATATATATGTTTTTTAAATTAAATACTACCTCTAAATATAATGATAAAAATGATAAACCAACAACGCTTTTGTTAGCTATAATTTTTATTATTTGTGGAAACTTTATGAAACAAGATCCAACAATAATTAAATTTACAAATATATCATATAACACCTTAAAATATTATAAAAAAAAAATTATAAAAATAATTTTTTTTCATTTTTTAATTGTATTTCTTAAAAAATTGACTTTTTTTTTTTTTTTTTTTTTTTTTTTTAAAAAAAAAT